TCTTAACTGTGGAAATGATCCATATGTCTGGCAAGTCGCCTATCGAATTCTCTTATCGCTCAATTAATCTGACATTTGTATTGTTAAAATTATGGAAAAGGATCATTCTTGCTCGTTTATTCCCTTGCCTAAGTATGACCCATGTAATATAGTATACCCGACCATAAATTTTGGCAAAAACCATACTAACCATAATCAGTACAATGTTTGGAAAAGAAAGAATCCTGTACGTCTGCTTTCGCTGCGGCTTCAGCTGGGTTTATCATAAAGGACTACTCTACGAAATTAAAAAGTACCTTCTAACACACTTCTACTACCTGCTGATGGATTCTTATCTCAGTGACAGACAGTTTTAAATCAAACTCGGTGACAAAATCTTCTCTTTTTAGCTGCAGAGCTGGAGTACCCCAGGACTCTGTACTTGGTCCGATACTCTATAACATCTACTAGTAAAGTAGCCCAGACACCAGAAAGCTGCGGCATTCCTCAAATGTAACTGTGATCTTAAAGTGACTAGACTGTTTCTAAGTCAGCTGCTTGCTGACCAAGTGGCGCATGTAATTAAGCCCCGAAGTCTCACCATATTATCATTTAAGACGTGAAACTTATCCTCCGGCCAATCTAGACCTCGACACATTGCTGCAATCAACCTGCATTAAAATCCTGGACCGTAGGATGACATGGAAAGACCATAAACATAAATAAAACAGAACTGAATATAATGTTCCACCGACAGTCAGCTAATCCAACATTAACTATGTGCCTCCAAAGAGCTCAAAAATACATGCTAAAGGTACTTTTATCACCACATTGTTACGCTCGCTTTCAGGAAGTACTCGAGAACCTGATCTCAGCCAAACCCGCTATCCAAATATCAAAGTATCTATCTATGATCAAGAGAGCTAATTTACTAGGGTAAACCATTGCTCTAGTGGCTCAAACCCCAACCAACTGCAAATCACCTGATTAGTCTTGACGACAGATACTAAAAAAACCGGATTTAAAAAAAATACCTAATGAACAAAGGTCAAACAAGGTCACGCCGCCGACGCCGCCGCCGCCGAGGTCAAAAAGTCGGCGCGCCGCCGCCGGCCAATTTTACATCGGCGCCCACCTCTACCCTTGCTGTATTCAGTTCAACTTCTCACTAATTTGTAAAACATTACGTAGCACCACTCATTACGAAGACAGTTGATGCGAACTGAACACAGGCAAGTTGAATTCCATAGTAATAAAAAACGGTTTTTAATTCAGCCGTACACTGTTTTGTAAAACCTCTGTTAGCATTGCTTGATCGCAAAATCTCGTTCAGTTGACGCCAATTAAGCACGGGCTTGGCAAATTGGATAGTAATACAAAACCGTGCCGATTTTCGTCGCCAATTGAACACGGAAAGGGAAATACGCTCTTGTGTAGCGACAGCCAGGATCTACAGCTTCACTGGTTTATCTACCAGTGAAGATAAAGTTAAGCCTGCAAAAATTTTAAGGTTCAATTTCCCTCCAGGGCAAAGCCGATGACTGGTGACAAATTAAAGGTTTCAGTAACTATAAATATGTAAGTGGATGATAGTGTTTACAAATTGCCAAATATTTTAATAAAAGACCATTATTATTTAAAAAAGGGTATTTCGCCAAAAATGGTCAATTTTGCCTAATTTCCTTGGCACGAATTTTATTTCTGTTTTTAACTATTTTTAGTTTCCCATTGCATTAAGTAGTAAAAACTAAGCTAATATATCTAGAAGGGGTGTCATAATTCGTTTTAGAAACAAAGTTATGAGGTCATAAATTTTTGGTAGCCAAGGAAATTATTATAAATATTTTTTTCTCTAAGTTTTCTTCTGTGGTTTGCTTTTTTTTTGTTCGACCTATTTTTGTGTACTTTCGCAAGCAAACATGCCAATGAATATTATATCATTACGACCTTTTTACACAACTAAGGAAGATAAATGCAGTAGATTGAGTTAAAAGTTAAAAACAAGTTTTTCTATATCTATTCTGATACCTATTTCTTAAAATTTAAATTTTAAACTTATTCCAATAAAGAAATACTCAAAATTTGACTTTACGCCGAATTATTAATGGTCTTTTATAATTTCCTAGGTCATTTTATGCCACGGAAAACAAGGAAATTAGGACCAAAGAAATTAGATTTATGCCTAAAAGACACCACAGACAAAAACCTATTTACCCTATACATTTACTATTTAAATCATGGGTTTACCCCTACAGACACTACATTTGTGTAAATAAACAATAAAATTAATCCATTGTTTAGTTGCAAAAAACCGTCCAAAGAAATTGACTTTTTAGTAAACAAAAACCCAAGGAGGGACCTATTTATGCGATTTGTCGCGAAACTGATCAACGACGTGCTGTCCTGCCTCAATGGCCTCTTGGGACGAAATGGCCGAGTGTAGTGGTGCAGTGCGTTACATTCTAAGTTTTTTCGTTTCGTTACAACAATGGTCGAAACGAAGACCCAGGGAAATTATACTTTTGATCTGGACAAGAACTTAACTTCACTTTATTTTCTTCCTATAAGTATTTGACATTTAAAGTTTTTATTTTCCGATAGCCAAACGTTTCTCAAATGTAAAGAGAGTGCTATAAGAATTAAATTACGCTTCAATTTGTTATAATGAGCCTTCATTTTGGCAAACAACAGTAATGGACATGACAAGGAAATTAGAAAAACGACTTTTGATTAAGTTTTTCTACGGTATTATTTGTAGTTTCTGCTATTGTAATAGCAAAAACAAATAAAACTTTTGATGAACTTTCTCATAAAAATAGTTTTATACAGATAGATATAAAAAAACATGTGTTCGCCTGCCTGGACACAGAAAATTTACTGTTTCGGCGAAATACCCAAAAATAACATACTGTTTTGGAGCCTTACTTAATTAAGGCTCTTTGAGACCAATATTTGGTTTCTTTCTGCGATATACCAACATAGTTGATACTTAGTAAACTGGATGAGAATGCCTTATGGCATTAAGTTCGCCTAGTGTTAAAATTTTGGCATTTAAGTGTTTATAAATAAATATTTAAATAGTTTTACTTTTAATAAAGTATACGCGCGTTTTATACTTTGATCTCATGGTCCTTCGAGCTAGATTACTTATAGTTCGAAAATAAAATTAAAAAGTAACCAGGATGAGGAAAGTTAAGAATCAAAGAAGTACAAAATACATTCAATAATTAGAATGAAGTACTTAAAATAGGTACTTGTACCGTAAAACATCTATTGTCCCCACAGATATGTGAGTGATGTTCATGTAATCCGATTACAACAATCGGTTACGATGATTTTACGAGAACAGTAGTACGAACACAGTAGAAAGAAGATATTATTTACGGATTGAGAATTGTAATTAACAGCACAAGTAGAGATGGGTTTCCACCCGGGTAAAAACCCACATGAGGGTAAAAACCCAATAAAAATCCGTTTCATTCCACCCGTGGGTGTTTACACCGGGTGAAAACAAATAATTTTATAATTATTTCAATTGGTATCTTTTCTTTATTTTTATTGAATTTTTCTCATTTAAGTTTATTGATTAATAAGTAATAAGTCAAATTTAACACTAATATGCATTTATATCGTGGCCAAATCGTAAAATTGATCACGTTATGATGATGTGACCAATTATTTTATAAAATGGTGTTATTTCAAGAATCGTTGAACCGATTTAAAAGAAATTTAGTAGGAACACAATAATTTGTGATCATGGCAAGGACATGGAGGGGGGGATGCCAAAGATGCCAAACTCTCTCTTTGATGACATTACGGTATAAAGTTACAAATAACAACACCAACTACAAAGTACTTCTGCTTAAAAACTTGAAATCGAACCGCCCTTCCGCCACTGTAACGCATTGTAACGTTTTTCAAGACCTCCTCTCCCCCCAGATTGCATTACGTAACACTAGAACGCCCCCTTAGCAACAAATACCACTACTCACTTTAAAAAAACGCTATTTTTGTTTTCACCCACCAGAATGGGTGGTAATGGGTAAAAACCGGGTTTTTACCCAAATCACCCAGTTTTAACCCAATCGGGTGAAATGGGTTTTTACCCACTACCCATCTCTAAGCACAAGTAGCAAATAATTAATTAGAATAAAGTAGCAGTAAAAGAAGTATAAAGTAGCATTGTTTTTAATACATATCCTGCGATGTACTCTTAAGAGTTAAAACCATGGTCCCTGTATGTGGTGCACTCATACCGATCCCAAGGAACCGTACTTACTCATAACAATAAGACACACACTGATCCATGTATTCATGCACTTGACTTTATGTCTTGAAACGCTGGTAGGGTAAAAAAAATAACGAGATTTGACGATTCGTAAGTATTACTTTATTTTAAAAAGGTAAATAAAGATGCTTTTAGTTTTGTATTTAACAAATTATCAGTTTTATCGGAATTAATTAATTTTCGAATCGAGTCACACGATATCATTCGATGACTTTGCGAATGCAGTACGATGATACGATTACTTTTACGTTGCGGCAATCACTAAAATTCGCTAAAATGACACTAATGACGTTTAAAAAGTGGCACGCTCGGCTTCATACAATTTTTGACACATGCTGCATCTATCCATATGTGATTGTCCCCCTATGAAAATAATACACTTTATTTCGCAAATGTAAGAAAATCTACTATTGAAGCATAATTTTCATGAAACTAGCAACACTAACAAAAGACGCATCCATTTTTTTCATAGATTCTTGTCTCTGGTTTTGCGCTGTGAGATCCGTTTTACGCAGCACCACCTTATAATTTTAAATTCAGTCGTACAATAATATCACTTAATTTCAAAAAAGGCTTTTGATACTATTTCGTATAAATAATGTTTATTTCTCAAAGTTTCACAAAAACTGATAAAACTATGGCTACTGAAGTTATATTTCTAAAATATAAACACAAACAAAATAAAAGTCTTAGAACGGAACGTATTAGAAACCATAGCATTTAAAAATAAAACGATCACAGACAAAGTTCGTGTGCTTTTCGAGTCTGCCATGTTTTGTCCTATTTGTCGCGCTTGATCAACGCGTTCGTCGCGTTTACTGTTTTAAAACTGTTATTTTCTGAATGTATTACGGGCTGTGTTTTGTTTACAAATAGTGTAGTTGATGGTGTTGTAATTAATTTACTAAAACATTTGGTCAATCGATCATTTTGTTACCTCTGTGTGCGACAGTGTAATTCGAATTTCAACAATTTTATAATCGTCCGCTAGCTTGCTTGTGTCTGTATTCAAAGAAATTACGTCGCGTATTCGAGACATTCTCATCAAACGCAGTGATTTCTTAGCAAATTGTGTCGAGCTGTGACGCAACCCACGTGCACATAATACAGCGAGCATCTCATGCACATTTGTTATTATTTTGTTCACGAGTTCGTGGTGCGTCGCCCGCCGCCTTCGCGTTCGCCCGCTCGATTAGGCATCTGAGAATTAGACGGTGATTTCTGGTGCATTATTTTGTGCGGGCTAGTGTTGGTGTCGTCGTTCGGTGCAACGCACACGTGACTCGGGACGAGTGTTTGGGTGTCAGTCGACTGCGGTTCGCGAGCGCACGGGCACGAAACAGTCCGGCAGCACTCTGCAGTGCGGAGCGCGCGATTCTGAGGTGAATCACCGCGCGTTGTTGACCGTGCTTCGCCGTGTTTACCCGCGAGTGCATAAGTGCGTGTAGGGAAGTGAATCAGGCATGAGCGGCGCGTTGCGGCGCCGATGACACCGCCGTCCGGAGAGACGGCGTTTTGATCCCGTGTGTGTGCTGTTATGGTTGTTGGGTTATGAGTGTGTGACAAATTTGTAGTGCAAGGACACTGGAGCCCCTAGACGGAGTTGGGCCCGCCGGGGCGGCCCTGGTACTTTTGGGGGCTCCTCACGAAGGCAAGATGGCTGCGTGGAACCGCCACCACCACTTCAACATGCTCATGGATGAGAATGCCAAAAATAAATGTAAGTAGCAACATTTATTTGTTATTTTTTTTCAGTCTCATTAGTTCACTTCGAACAGGTTGTTTTTGGGATTTGAAATCTCCATAATTAATATTATAGGTACCAAATTAAAAAAAATAAGTTTTTGATTCTGTCAATTTATTCAATCCATATAGATTGGTCTATGAGAAAATTTCCAACAATCCTAGTAGGACATCTTATTCAACTAAATTACCCACATAATTTACTATGAAATTTAGACATTATACCTACTTTAATTAAAATATTAGATGCGATACACTTTAAAAAGTGTTTCTACATGCGATAAACATCCATCTGGGCTTCTTAAAATATTACCTACATCTTTTTTAACGCTCAATTAATTCAATCGCTAATAAAGTCTATCTTACATAGCATTGGTAAATCTGGAAACATTGGGGGAGGCTTATGTTCAGCAGTCGACATCCTGTTCCTAAAATGCTGATGAATTATGCTCAGTCGTTTGGACAATCCATGCTGCATAAAAGTAAACAAAAATGTAGTTCCTTCCATTAACATTGAATGCATACTCAACAATGTTCATAACAAAATTGATTTGACAACCTTATTCTTTATAAAACAAGTTCATTAGCGTCAATCACTTTCATTAATTTGAAACTATTCAACACAGGAAGACTAGTGCAACCTCCGAGACCTGTGTCTATATTCCTGGAATCGAGAAAATAGCCTTAATTTTCCCGAATTGCAATCAGAATTCTCAGTATTTCAGCAGCAATTCTAGGTATTGGCTGGCACAAGCCTATTTACAAACAAACTCATTCTTATTTCTTTAAACTTATGTGTTTATAAACATTTCACTTGGTAACTTCTAGTTTAGTTAAATGTTTTAGTGTAAGACTAGATCTAGGTACAAATGTTATGTTGATTTTCATCGTGCCACAAATTATCTACCTATCTAGTACATCTATTATAATATTATTGTTGGCATGTGCCACAGATTTAGTGTACTGTTACTATGTGATAGGCTATCTAAAACGTTACAACTAATCACAAACCACAATACAAAAGGAGATAAGCAGCTGAGCTGTCTTTTCAGTTAGGTACTAATTTTTCATTATTGTTATTGTACTGTTACATAAGTTCTTTAGATAATTATTTAATTAGTTTTAAGTAAAGTATTATTAGGTAGGTTCCTTCAATATCCCATCATTTTAGCATACTTTTGTAACTTTAAACTCAAAATGCTTTGAAACTGTTGAAGCTAATAATTTCTAAACATCTTGATATATTGCCCATATTAGATCTAGACCCTTTTGGCTGATACAAGGGCAATAGCTCCTTTTGAAGTGACCACACCATTTGTAACAATCAAAGCACCTAACACGGCCCTTGATTCAATGGACACAATACAATTTTCCGCCTATCACCTTTACGTGCGATAGGTTTCCATGGCCCTGTGTGTGTATATTGTTGAATGCACACAACCCTCTGTGACCTACCTGTGGAATACACCCGCTGCCCTACATCCCTTCACCTTTATTTAACGTTTGTCATATTTAAAATTGATATTTTCCCGATATTATTTCGAGCGTGCGAAAAATGCGACGCGCAAAAATGCTATATTCGGTCGCCTGAAAGGACAAATTTCTACAAAACTCTTTCACTGAGTCAAAACTTTTACATCGGTGTTTTTTGAACTTCATAATGACGATCTATACTAAGAAATAATGCGACATTATCAAAATATACTTCTGCTACATTACATTAGACATGAATGGAAGTTGAAAAAAAGTTTTGATACTGCACTTGGGTTTTGGCTTACTCAAGTTTCTTTCTAGCTCAGTTCATATCCACTTATTAATGTCGTCGTTATGTATTCAAAAACACTGAATGAATACAATGTTCTAACTTATGATTACTGAATTCCGTTGTTACGTTTTGTATTGGATATTATTATGACATTATGTCCATTTGAGTCTTATTCCGAACCATCAATCACCAAGTTTACATAACGGTGGACTACAAACATGCAATTTGTTGAAAAGCAGCTATTAATGATACGGTAGCCGACGTTGTCGCGAAGAAAATTGTTTTGACGTAATTTGTGGTTTATTATCAGTTCATAGCGTCGGCCCTAAAGTTGTTTAACGGACGGTGACGACCCCCTAATCTTCGGACTAATTATGTTCAACCCTCACAGATGGGTTCCTGCATTGACGCTTTATTAGATGTAATACGTCTTTTATGTCCCTATTCAAATTATTTGTCAATATATTTCAATTTGTATTAACAATGCGTGCACGTGCCTGGTATGTTTCTTTTGTACTTTAGGTGATTCACTGACTTAGATAGCTTAGCCGCCCTGACTGTACACGAATGATTGTTCGTAAATAAAATTTCATTCCGATGTGATTGTGATCAAGAGGCTATTACATTTCACATACGTTTTGAAATTGTCACAGTTGCAGATATGTAAGGAAACCTATTATTTCTGTATATTAACCCATCGAACACCAAGCGGTCGCATAAGACCACATAAATTTCTATCGTCTCGATTCGCGAAGGATCATATCATAAAATACTTTATCATAATGCCTGCCTGACCCGATGAAAACCCATACATATTTTACACTCCGCCGCTTGAAATGAAACAAAATAAAAAAAATTAGTTTCCTTGTTGCGTTCACGAAGCCGCGATCCTGAATCTAGTCATGAAAATTTTCCTTGCTGCAACTTTTCTTCCTTTGGTCAGATTAACAGTTATGTTATCTAACATCATAGTCAGACTATTGTCGTTAGCATTTTATCCTGTGGATAAAACCTGTTACTAAGCACAGAAGTGTGGATTCGTTGGAGTGACGAGCTGCTGAAACTCGTACCCATCAGTTTATTCAATTTTCCGGTAAAGCCCGCCGTATCACTTCCCACGCTTTTGGCACTACACTGGCGATCGTTGCATTCGCGAGTTCTAAATAACACAAAGATACTGCTCTTAATACCCAGTTCTGGGGTATCCGGGCAATTTCTCGGTATTTTATTACATAATTGAAAACGACAACACTTGCTTTCATATAAATTCAGCTCATTACTTGTTAATTTGCACCCCAATCCATGTAGTTACACGCTGAAAAGGCGTAATAACTTACTCGCCTCTCTCCTTTTTCTTCAGTCTTTACTGTGGTCACTAATGAATTGTGACCGAATCTCTTTAACTTATGAGAATAAGGATAAAGATCTCTGACAATTTTGTTAACAACCTCTTTGAAATTCATGAATTCAGAATAAAACATGCTAATTTATTTCAGTATGGTCGAGGAAACAAAATTTTACTCGAATAAATTAGTACAAGGAGCGAATTCACCCCGCGCCATAATGTTACAAAAACTGCTCAGAGCTGTAATGTTGTTTTTAAAAATTCGGTGCCCGTGGAATGGAAATGAAAATTACATGGTGGCGGCTTTGGGTCACGGCGGGAGGGGTCGGAGTGCCAAATATTTACGACGGTCGACGGCGATGCCGGAACCATAGGTGAATTCGCATTTTTCGTATCAACTTTCATTCACTGTCTGAAAGCTGGTTGCTATGCGGATGCTGGCCTCACTCTGTCATTAAACCAGTGCTCGTGCAACGCGGCGTTATGTAGATAATATCGTACTCTTTGGAAAGTATTTTGCTTTATCTACTTCGGAATATAATAATTCTTATTATCTTGTCATCTATTATGATTTGGGATACTCGTGTTTGCGATTTATCGCGACATGCTATTTATTTTGTTTTGCTTTATTGCGTTTCCTTAGCGATGACGAAACGGTGTTTGATTGGTTAATTGGATTGAGTTTGTTTATTTATTTATTGTCAGTAGCATTGCGGTTAGTAAAGTTTATTCGCTATGTATTATTGGATTTTGTGTCTAATATTATTTTTCAGTCATAGAAGCAGTTGGCACAGTATTGTTTTGACATAACGATCGGCCAAAATGGTGTGATGACTGATAGTTATTTAAAATGAATCGTGGTGTTATTTATGGTCTTCGACTCGCTAACGGTTGGTGTTCCACAGTCAACCAGTTATGCCCATGTCTGCGAATCGAGTGCTTCGCTGTGGCCGGTGAATGGTCACCTTTCACCGACACACTGTCTAGACGACTTCGTTTCGACTCGTGAATGAATTTTACATCGGAATGCGGAACGACAATTCATCGTGCCCCACCAAAATGTTCGGTGCGCTTTGCGAGTGAAATCTCGAACGTTTAGCGAAGCCGGCTCTCGGACGTCGTCCTCGAAACTATAGGAAAGGTTCCGCAAGTTACTCGAGTTAACATTCAAACGAGAGTTGTTATTGAAATGTTAGTATCATTTGTTCAGGGTGCTTGTTCAAACACCTGGACAAAGCGTGGGCAGCGCCGGGCGGCGCTGTGTGGGCATTCAGGTACCCTATGCAAATTGTTAAGATTTCTCCGGCGAGTACTGAGTCGACCCATTATTTCTGAAACCGCCACGATTTCATTGCGCACCAACAATTTGCATTTTAATTGGACGAAGTCTCGCTTACAGATCATAAGCGCGCTTTGTAGTACACCACAAACCCCTTTGTACCGCGATTATTGAGCTAACAACTCTCAAATACACACAATACTCATATAATTACTTTAACTTTCACTCAATTCTTGTTTTAATTAGAAAATTATTGAAATTATGAAGTAAGTTCCACAATCGTAAACACCGGGGCATTATAATGGAGTATTATTTCTAGTGGTTTCCGCCTATCAACAGTTTTGGAAGGAAAATAAAAACTTATTTTTATTAGTCACGAAGTTGTCGGAGTGTGACGCCTGACGAGCCAGCCCTAAAGTGCCTCTTGGTGTCATCGACCGGCTGTGAAGGTTTTTGCACGTCCAACGGTGCTGTTATTTTAATAATTGAATGAGTATGGAAAGTAACGTCACAGACATTCCTTCAGTTAACGGTACGCCTGTTGTACTGAGCACATACAATGAGACTAATTTAAATTGACGATCTATG